GGGGGAAATACCCTGCGAGTATTCCAACAGTCTATGACGACATGGAATATTCCGTAAGGATATTTCCAACAAGAACAAGAGAGTCATGACATCTATAGGAGGGAGATGTCCCATGACATCACTATATCACATCTCTCCCCCTTAAATTTCTTCGATAAGACGCTGTGGAGGTTTCCGAATTCTTGTTGTACGCCGAAGCATCGGAGACTCCTGGTCAGACGAGGAAGAACTCGACGATGTCGATGCGGTAGTTGTTGTTGTTGGTGTTGATGAGACAGACACCAGATTTGATTCTTCATTTGCATCCAGTGTAACTGCTTGTGATACACCAGTCGATGGAATAATATCATCCATGTTGTCCTCCGAATCATCCCAATGCCGAAACTGAAGTTGATTTTCATGGCGTCGCCAAGTCTGATCACCAACTTTGACTAACCATAATCGAGATCCTTGACGGTGAATTAATGATCCCGGTTTCCATTGCGTTTTTGTTGAGGATGCTCTAAAATCACGTACTAACACTTTGTCACCCTCCGTAAAATATCGCTCTTTCGATTTCTTATCAAAGTTGACTTGATACCGATTATGTGCAAGGCGTGTGGCTTCTGCATAATTGGGACGTAATAAGTCGAGTACAGTCCTTAATGGACGTTTTAAAAACAACTCGGCTGGTGTTTGGCCAGTTGTCGCATGAGGAGTCGTGCGATAATTGAAAAGGAATTTCATCAGAGCTTCTGTTACACTACCTCCCTCATGAACAATCTTCGTGAGTGCAGATTTCACGGTCTCCACATACCGTTCAGCTTGTCCATTTGATTGGGCGTGGGCTGGTGCTGTACGGACATGATCGATGCCGTTACGAGAGCAAAAATCTTGAAACTCCGATGACGTGAACTGAGTACCGTTATCGGATACAATCACTTGGCAAAGACCGAAACGAGCAAACACCGAAACGAGCAAACAAAGATGACAAAGCGTTGATCGTGATTTGTGACGTGATAGTGGTCATTGTAATCACTTCCACCCACTTGGAATATGCATCGACAATAACCAGAAAATATAAACCCAGAAATTTTCCCATAAAATCGATATGTATACGTTGCCACGGATGATCAGGTGGTGACCATTGGTTCATTGGAACTTTTACCGTTTGTTTGGAGTTTTCCGTACAAACTCGACAATTTCTGGCCACACGTTCAATATCACTATCGAGATTGGGCCACCAGAAATACCGCCGAGCTTCCGCTTTCATTCGAGCCATGCCAGAATGTGTTAAATGAAGGTGATTCAAAAGACGTGTTCGGAAACACAATGGAATAACGGTGCGCAAACCCCACACAATGCAACCATATGAGGTAGATAATTCATATCGGATTTTGAAATATGATTGACATTCAATCGGATGCGTCTCCGGCCAACCATCTTGAGTATAGCGATAGATTAACGAAAGCACTTTGTCTTTGAGAGTAGCTTGAGCAACTTGTTTCGCACGAATAGGTAATTCCGCCTGGTATTCTTGTTGAATAGCAGCAACTATCTGCCCTTCACCAGCACTGGCAGTGTCAAATGTTGAGTCTGGTCCAATGGGAAGTCTGGATAGGCCATCAGCATGTCCAAATCGGGTAGTAGAACAATATTCAATATCGTAACTATATGCCATTAGACGGATTGCCCATCGTTGAAGTCGATTGGCTGATGTAGTCGGTATACCGCGCTTTGGACCAAATATAGTAATTAAAGGCTGATGATCAGTTACCAGAGTGAAACGGCGTCCTCTCAAAAATTCATCGAATTTTTGTAAACCAAACATGATTCCTAGTGCTTCTTTCTCAATTTGTGCATATCCTGCCTCCGTTTTAGTAAGTGTTTTTGATGCGTATGCAATCGGTTTCTCATTTCCATTAGCAAACCTGTGATATATCACCGCGCCCAGTCCATAGCTCGATGCATCAGTAGCCAAAACCAATTTCTCTTTGGGATCGTAATGAGTCAAGGTTAATGATGATGATAATTTGTTTTTGATATCGACGAAAACCTTGCTACAATCTGCATTCCAATGCCAACGAACATCTTGTTTCAATAACGCATACAACGGTGTCAACTGAGACGCCAAATGAGGAATGAATTTTGCGTAGTGGTTAACCATGCCGAGAAATGATTTCAATTGTGACACATTCGATGGCTGTGGCATTTCACGAATTGCTACGGTTTTCGACGTCGACGTATGAATACCGTCGGAATTTACCACGAAACCAAGATACTCCACCTCGGATTGTAGAAATGAACATTTCTGTTTGTTAATTTTAAAACCAAAATCTTGGATCCGAGCAAAAACATTTTTTAAATTTTTTAAATGATCCAGTTCCGAACAGCCTGTCACGATAATATCGTCCAAGTAGGCAACAGTTCCATCTAACCCGGATAACATGGTATCCATCAACTTTTGAAAGATGCTCGGTGCGGAAGCAATGCCAAATGGTAATCGATTGTAACGATATAACCCTTTGTGTGTGTTAATCACCAGAATATTTTTACTGGTTTCATCCATTGGTACTTGTAAATATGCTTCGGAAAAATCGATCTTGCTAAAAAATTTACCTCCGTTCAAAACGGCAAATAATTCATCTGGTCTAGGCAACGGATATTGATCTATATCGATTGCTTGATTAATCCCAGTACTGAAATCAGCACAGATTCGCACCTTCCCACCAGGCTTCGGTACCGCTACTATCGGGGCGGCCCACTTTGAAAAATCCACTGGCTCAAGAATTCCGTTTTCGACAAACCGTACCAACTCGGCTTCGACCGCGTCGCGATATGCGAAAGGAATTGAACGTGGTTTGAAAAACTTCGGTAACACATCTGGTTTCAAATGCAATTGGGCTTGTAGCTTACAACACCCCAATTGATCTTCAAAAATCTCTTTATATTGCGTACAAATCTCTTGTAAGTCCGTCAGCGAAGACTGTATTGAACACACTGCCGTGGTGTCCTTGCGATCTGTGAATGACTTGTTCAGTAGTTGAAGTGCCTTGATCCAATCGCGACCCAGAATATTGGCTTGACTTTCAAAAACGACCAGAGTTTTCAGTGAAAAAAATTTTCCGTTATAGGATATTTCCACCCATGATTCGCCTCTAAAACGAATCGAATGACCGGTAAAACTAGAATACTTCATGGAATTCTGATGCAATTTAGGTTTTCCAAGGCGCTTCCACGTATCCGAATTGATGATTGTGACTGGGGAGCCTGTATCCAATTGGAAATGAACTTCTTGATGATCAACGGACAATGACAAACTGAAAGCTGTGTCCACTGAATCACTCGAAAAAGTCGACGAAACGATTGTATTGACGTTGTAAGATGTATTGTCGACCTTTGATCGACATACCTTGGCAATATGTCCTCTCTTGTGGCATTTGAAACATAACGCATTCTTGAATGTGCAATCAGATCGATGGTGATCCGCACTACCACAACTCAGGCAATCGCCGGAAGATGTGGGCTTGTTGGGAAAACCGTGACGTTTTTGAATCTTGTTGATCGTTAAGTCCTCCGTTCCGTCCCGAACAACACTGGCTCCTTGAGTCAATACCGAACTAATGGTATTGGCCGCGTTGAGCGTTTCTTCAAACGTGTCCAGTTGCTTTTGCATCAAGTGTTTGCGGACTGCTGCATCCAGTAAACCACCTACAAAAGCCGTAATGAGTGCTTCTTCGTAGAAATCCATTGGAAATTTGCAAGTAGTCGTTTTGTCCCGAAGATCATTCGCAAAATCAGTTAACGACTGTGTCGACGACTGTTTTAATGAGAAAAATTTGATCCGTTCGGTCGAAGCGAACGTGACACGTGCATAATTCGTACGTAATTTCGTTAAAATCGTCTCGTATGTGAAATCAGCTGGTTTGGCAGGTTTGCATAACGCAATTAATGTCTTAAAAGGTTTTACACCCAGAGCCGTGATCAACAAATCCCGTTTCTTTTCTTCGTTCCGAATCCCTTCCACCTTGAAAAATGTATCCAGAAGTATCTCCCATTCATCCCAATCATAAGCTGAGGGATCGAACTCTCGAAGTCGGCTGCCGCTTCGACGTTGTACTTGTATTCCAGTGTCGGTTTCGGTTTCTGCGTTCATCTCGTTCTCGTCGCCAATTGTCATGTCCTGATGTAAGAGAGTTTATTTAGAAATAAACATAAAAACTGAACTACACTGAGAAAACATCATGACTATATATATAACACTAGAAAGGGGGGAAATACCCTGCGAGTATTCCAACAGCCTATGACGACATGGAATATTCCGTAAGGATATTTCCAACAAGAACAAGAGAGTCATGACATCTATAGGAGGGAGATGTCCCATGACATCACTATATCACAAATATCATTTTCAAAGCTTACCCAAAGCCATACATTAAACATTGTAGATCTATTTTCTAAATGAAGACGTCGATGCACATCCTTCCGATTGCAGTTATATTGGTAACTGTTCTACTTGTGATGAACTGTATTGAGAGTATGCCGCTTGATCAACAGGCAACAACGTTCGATTCGCTGAACGACACGAATGCAACTTTCGATCAGGTGTTGAAAGAACAGGGAACAGTACGAAGTGATGATAGTTCTCCGCCAATTGGTATTTATATTGGTGGAGGTGTGGGTGGATCTGTCGGCCTTATTATTCTTTTGTGTATTATATTCTGCTGTTGCTGTTGATGAGAAAGGTTTTTTGCGATTATTGTTTTCTATTCAAGAAGTTGATTTTTTAAATTATTTTCAAAGAAAATAAATGATTTTTTTTACAAGAAGCCATCTTTTTAACATATTCAAATTCTCCCTTGGAATTGCCATCAAATCCATGAACTTTCTTTTCTATAGAATTTTAATAGTTTCAGGTTGAAAGCATATGGGATATCTTGAGAAACAATTAGAGATTCACTATATCGATTCATTTGTAAAATATTGGCTTTCGGCAGAATACATTCACAAATCGTCCTTATCGACAACTTCAAAAGAAAGTTGTCTGTTACTCATTACTTTCATCCATGTATATATATATATATATATACACTAGTGATCATTCTAGGAAAACTGTAATTCGACAAAATCTACTGGAATTGCCATGCATCGTATTATTATTCTATTGTTTCAGTAGAAAATAATCCATGTATTACCTACTATTTCTGAACGTTTTCTCCCAGAAAAGAGCTTTTTCGAAAATATCTTCAAATCAAAACTAGAACCAAAGCTGATACGCTCGAAACCATAGCCAATAATCACAATTAGGTCAAAACTATCAAGACTATGTATAAACTTAACATTTGATATCGAATTATATACATTCATTAACAATTTATAATTAGAAAAGTCAACTGTGATAGTGCTTACTAAACGTCGTTTCTATTAACGGGCCCAGCGTGAATGACATCGGATGGATCATAGACTTCTTGGACATTTGCTATGACTATTTATTTTCTTATTTCTTTGTGATCGATTCATTCATCATTGTACTTTTTTTAAATAACGGACAGAATTATTCTACCATTGAGATATATCATCAACATGTATCGCATAAAATTGATGCGGATCAAAACCTGTCACTTCTATCACATATGGTTACGCTATTATAGGAGAAGAACAATCTTTTGCAACTAAAATGTTTTCTTGGAAAGAATTTTGAAACTTGATATGTATACAGAAGGATCATGTTGAAGGCCAAGTAAGATTTTACGACATGAGTGATTATATTATCTCGATTAGTATGTGCGTCGTATACACTTCTGTTTTTATGGACTTTTTTTTTGTATGACGATTCAGCGTCAAACAACTTGTCGATCATGTCCTAAGTAAAAAAAAGCTTTCGATAGGATAGGTAATAAATTTCCATAAGGATGAAGACATCACTTTTTACAGTCTATGTAAGAATTATTTGTAAAACTGTACCGAGAAACATTCACACGACTTTAAACAGGTCTTATTGGAGTTGTTGTTATGTACGCATGATTACTTTCCAGAAGCAGAACCCGTCACATGAATCTTCTTAACAATATTTTATGTCTAATAGGTTTTCTTTGAGGTTATTTCAACTGTGTCATTCATAAAACATATTCAATACTATGTTCGAATGGCGGTATCTGACAGTAAGATAAAATTGAAATCGAATGAATGAAATATCATCCAAAATGAACTATCGCTACCTGAGGAAGATAACGATGGATATTGTGCATCACAACCGGCAGGATTATCTGCATGAAACGTGTAGAACGACAGCTGACATGATTAAAAACAAAAGAGTAGCCGAAGTTCGTCTCATGCATGGCATTAGCACAGATTCATTTTGTTAGTATCTGTCCTCTCACATATTAAACCGACAAATGAAGAGCTTTTTTAGCAATTTCGCTGTATGATCTATTTATAGTGATTACCCACGAGAAAACTTTGAAACAGATACCGCTGATCGCCGCGGTTTTTTCATAATGGCTGCGGTTATACCGTTGAAGGTCGCTGTGTCGAAAAGAAACCGCGATCAAAAGCGGT